TTTGTGAAGCCATTACCTGTAAAAGGAGCCAAGGGGAGGATACTGCCGAGACAAAGGATGCGGGGAAAGCTGAAGCAGAGTGTGCTACAACGAATGAAGCTAAGACTGTCGGAAGGTGGGTCGAAAAGGGGCCAAAGGTTGGGCATGCCAAGCTAGGCGTGCCGAAAGGAAGGAAGGCCAACAAGGCCAAAGCGGAAGAGGCCAAGGCGAAACAGGCGCAACTGAAAAGTGCACAGCCCAAAAGGGTGCAGGCAAAGGGTGATCATCCTGAAAGTGATCGACTCGAAGGGGATCGGTTCAAAAGAGAGCACCCACAAAATGCGCAACATAAGACGACGAGGGTCGGGTGTACCCTTAAAAAGGTGGCGGAGGGCTCGGACTCCGATTTGGGTGAGGAGCCTCTTGAGGCCTATTCCGGGGCTATTCCATGGGTGAAGAGCGAAGGAGGAATTATTAAGGGAGGTGTGTACAAAGAGGAAAAGAGAAAAGGTGAAAGGAGAAAAGATGAAAAGGGAAAAGCTGAGAAACGAAAGGGGGAAAAGCACAAAGAAAGGGATATAAAGACAAGGGCGCACAAAAAAGGGAGGCGCGAAGGAACTCCACGGCGAAGCCACAGGAAGGAACGGCAGCCCCAGGTGTGTGCGCTGTTAGACGGGTCGGAGGACGCATCCGCGCTTTCCTGCGCAGAATCGTCCACACTGTCCCTGGCCTCAGGCACGTCAGAAAACTCCAGCCTCTACTGGGGGGAAGACAACCTCATTGAAATATTCATTGGACAAGCAAAGCTAAAAAGCCAACAGACAGACTGCTCCCATTATGAACAGGCATTCTGTGTGTCCTATTTTGTGTATGAAGACCCGCTAGAAATTTTCAGCCTATTTCAGGGAGTAAGTTGGCTGCCAGAATTGAGAAACCGATGTACCTCCCTAAACAGAATCGAGTTTAAGCCAAAGGAAAACATCAAAAAGACTTACTCCTCCGCATATATAAATATCAATCAATGTGTACATTTAAGGAGGAGACACAATGAGGTGCTAAACATTGTGGATGATGGGATTGCCTACGTTTTTATTTCAATCATTGGGGTTAATTTGAAGGAGTACGAACAATTTTTTTACCAGAGTGAATATGCCACGATCAAGGGAGGGACAACCTCCCCCCCGGGCACTTCCTACATTAGAAGCGATGTCGTTAAGCCGCTAAACCGATTTTACCACCCGGGGGGGATAATCCCCAACATGGATGAAGAGTATCAAAGGGGGGTTGAGGATATCCCATTTGGAAAAAATCTCGCGGAAAAGTACAAAAAGGAAATAGAGTCAGAATTGGACTCCATGAGAGAGAAAAAAATTGTCATTGAGAGGGATTACAAAAAATTTCTTCACATCTTAGGCTCCTCCATTGTTCCTATAAAGGTGTCTAATGAAGGAGAATTAAAGAAGGTTGAGAATATGTGCACTAAAGACAGCTACAATGTTTACCCTCATGAAGTCATTCGAGCTATCTTCTACAACTATATAGACCTCTTCAGAAAAAACAAAAAGGCAAATTTGTTCCATCTCATTAGTAAGCACGAAGAGGAGTTATTACCAGTGGGTCGTCTGAATATTCAGAGCAAAGAAGTGAAAAAGGATGTACTACCCCCCGGGGATCTGCTCCACGAAGAGGATATATTTCACAACCTGAGCAGGAGCAATGGAGGAAGTGACGCACATAATGTTGCAAAGAAAATTCTTAAATACGTTACAGTAAGAAGAACGAGTAGAGGAGAAGAAGAAGACAGCTTCGTTAAAGAAATAAAAAAATTGTTTTCCCACTTAGTTGTAGAATTAAATAAAAAATATCCCAAGCGCATGAACCAGTCTTTTTCCTACTTTGAAAAGTCTCTGCACAAAATGGATGATATGAATGGCCAAGAAAAATTTAGGAAAAAAATTAGGAAAAAATTATTTAAAATGTTGGGACTATCAAAGAGGAGATTCCAAAACGAACTCTGTCCAGCCGGTTCGAGAATTTCAGAAGTGCCCTGTTCACACCTAATTGTTTATGTTCACTGTGTGTCCAATATAGCTCTTAAGTTGAGCTCGTTAAAAGATTTTACTGACGTGAAGCTCTTCCATGGGATCATATTTTGGGAGGAAGAGGGGAACAGTTTGCACAATCTTCAAAATTTAAGTGACAGAAAAAGGAGGACCATCAGATTGACGTCGCAGAATGGGATCCAAGTTGACTACTACTGCGCCACGGAATGTGAGCAGCAGAGTCACAAAGTGGGGGGAGAAAAACAGGATGTCGTTTGTTTGAAGCTTAATTTCAACAGCCCCGTCATCCTGCCTTACAACTACAACGCGTCTTCTTGCCGACTGAATTTTGTCCTTCTGCACAGAGGCATTCCGCTGCTTCGCTTGGGTGAAAGCGGCAGAAGAGAAGATAGTTGCAACTATGACGTCCTCTACGACAACTGCTGCTACGCCATAAACGATAAAACTCCGTTTAACGAAGGGGACAAGGTAAAGAGGACCCTCCAAATCCACCGGCATTATCTGAAAACGAAGGGGCACGACCCCTTCACAGAAAGTTCCCGACCCTCTGTTGAATTCTCATTCTATACACACCCAAAGAATAGCACATTTTTTTCGGAACCCAAGTATAAACTGCTTTACAAAAATCGAATGAAGAGCAACCTGGGAGAAGACATTACTCACTCGGCCTATTCAGCTCCTAATTTTGGAAGGGACAAACTGGTTTTTCACTTTTTCGATGACTTTGCGGATGACCCACGTTTGGAGAAAGCAAACCGGAGGTGTCCTTTTAAGAGTTACTTCTTCGTCCCCGTTATGGGGCGTGAAATGCAAGAACGGTCTCCAGTGGGGAAGCGCGGTGACACTCCATCGAGGCATGCCCAATCGTATGAAACTCCCTTAAGGAATGCTCCGTCAAGCGCTGTCCGCATGCACGGTCAACGTGGGGCCTCCCCTCTGGAAGCTCTCATCCAAGTGGTCCACTTGGCCGTGGCAGAGGGAGGGGGACTCAAGGGAGGGGAAATAAACAGCTGGCACTCCTTCTACGTACACACCAAAAATTACAGAAAAAAGAAGATATATGGAGGAAAACACGTTCAAATTAGGATACAAATTGAGCCCCTCGGTTATCTTCATTTAGACTATGGTGCTGATCCCTGTAGGGACGGAGAGGTAAATAAAAAAACCTTAACTTGTTATGCACCTAATAAGGGGCTCATGGGTTCTGATAAGTTCTGCTTTAACTCCTTTAGTGAGATCCACGAACTGGTAGATTACAAAGTGGAGGATTTAAAAAATGGAACTTACGAGGTGACATACCAGGTGCACAAAGTGGGAAGGAAGCTGCTATACATCTTCTGCGACGGGATCGATGTGGTTGGTTCTCCATATGAAATAGAGGCTACCCCCTCGGACGCAGATCCAAAGTCGTGCAAAATTTTGGGGAAGGGGGCCACCCAGTGTCTGGCCACTCCTGTTTTGGATCTGGACAGTGGGCCCTGGGTTGGTGGCCGTCTAGGCAAGCAGCAATACGAGAATGGGTTTGTGGGGGGAGAGGTAAATCGGGATGCCAGTCTGAACGGCGACGTGGCTGTTAACCAGGGTGGCCATCTGGAGGTTTCCATAGGGGCTCCCCTTTCCTCGATCTATACGAAGGCGGGCCTAGTGCCAAGTGGGGGGAATCTCGACGGAAGTGCCCCACCGCTCGAATCCTCCTTACAACTTGAGTCGGCTGAGCCAGGGGGGAGTGCTCCAGAGGCAAATGTCCAGAAAGGGTTTGACGGAACCGCATCAGCGGGGGGGGTTTACCGAGCAGTACTACCAGTGGAAGGACGCCCAGGGGAAACTCACCCGAGTTTCACTGCTTCTGCCACCGCTACTCCAACCTCTGCTCCCACTGCTGTCTCTCCCCAGGGCGAACACCAATTACACATCATCTCTGTAACGAAGCGGGAGGTGAGCACCGACCTGGGGGCACCCAAAACGGAAGAGGTGTCAGATCAGTGTGCGAGCGAAGAAGCGTCAGGAAGTAGATCGTCAGCGAGGAGGATCCCCTACTGCAGTGACGAAGCAAACAAGCTTTTTTCTCAGCCAAAATATTACGACGAAATAGAAGGGGAGAACATCACCAAGATGGACAAAGCAAACAAGCAGAGGTGTGCTGAGATCCTGGAAGAAACCCAAATAGTGAACACATTTACAGTCATACTTTGTGATAAAAATGGGGTAAAGCTAAGTATCGGGAATGACAACGTAAAAGTGGTGGGAAAGAATGGCGCACAGATTAAACGGCTCGTGGATAACAATAACGGGAGCTACACAGTTGAGTATGTTGCCCATTTTAAGAGAGAGGGGAAAACGAAAAAGATGTTTGACGATGAAGACATAAAACAAGTGCAAACTTTTTATGAAGAATTCCTTATACAGTGTAGTAAAAAACACAACGATAATTATCTCATTGAAGATTTTCAAAGGAGGTTCCATCAGGGGGGCATTCCAATATGCTGCCAGATTCATGTCTACATAAACGAGGTTGAGATGTTTGGCTCCCCACTGAAACCCATCATTATGAATATCCCACAGATTCTCCACTTTTTCAACTTATATTTCCAGTTCACTTACTCAGGGTTGTTACTAAAAAGTTTTGAATTGCTACTAAACTGTAATGATTACCAAGGGTGCATGAGTAGTCTGTCTTCATTTTATTCAACTTTCTTAGAGGTAGTCGAGAGTGAACAAGGGCGCTCCAAGTCAATAGACTCGGGAAGCTTCCCAACGATGATCCCATTTGTATCCCCCAAGGGAAGTGACGACGAAGTCAAAGCTGAAAACTTCTTCTTTAACATTCCACTGAACATTTTCGACTTGAGGAAGGGGGCCCTCGTAGATAGTTCCTTACCAGTGGGTGAGATCCCCCATGGGCACACCAAATGGGGGGAGCAACAAAAGGGTGCAGTGGCGAAGTATACAAAAGGTGACCCACTACACGAAAGAGCAATTCACGAAATGAACGAATCTTCATTTGTCAATGAGTGGCTCCACATGCACATGCACAAATCGAAGTTGTCCAAAACGGATGCGAAGTATGACCTGGGCATGAACCTGGCCTACTCCCTAAGTAACATCATTTTGCAGCACCTGATATATTTGAAACAGTACAAATTCTTTATCAACTCGAAGCAGTATGAAAACGGCTTGCTCCAGGACAACATACTTACGCATTTTAGGAAGCTACTGGAGGAGGAATACAACAAAATGTTTGCCTACCAAACGAAGAACATCATACAGTACTGCGAAAAAATTGAGAACGTGAAATTTAGCGGCTTGGAAGAATTAATAAAGGTGTACAAAGGCATTGCATCCGAGCTGAGGAAGTTAAAGAAGAACGATCTGGCGGACGATTTCGATAAGTGCTGTGAACACATGTGTCAAGAGTTGTATCTTCATAACATCGAGTGCAGTCTGCTTAGGAAGGAAGCCATGTTGGACAAGTATGAGCAAGTGATTGACCAGAAAATGGAAAAAGTCGACCAAATCAAGGAGAGACTGAAGAAGTATGAAAGGAACGAGGTAGACATGGAGAGAATCTCTAAAATGTGCAGCGTCAAAAGGGATAAAGGGATCCAGACGAACGACTACTTATCATTGTCTCACAAGAACAACTTCTTAACCGCTCTCATCGAGTCCAGGAAGGATAAACCCTCAGCAGGGGAAGGACAAATGAAAAATGAACAGACAAAGCAGTTCCACCTGGAGGAAACACAAATCAGGGACATGGTGAGGAAATACTGGAGAAACGCATCCACCTATGACATATTTGTGAGTATAAAAAAAACAATGAATAATTGCCCACGACTGAAAACCTCGCTGGACGAAACGTTTAACTACTACAGTTGTAGTGTCAAGAAGGAAAACAAAATGAAGGAGTTTCAAATTAAAAAAATGCAGGAAATAAAAATGGTGGAGAATCTGGACAATTTAAAAATGATAGACTTAAATGAAGACAATAACAACCTACTCTCACATAACGACTTGAGTACCTTCCATCTGACGTACAACGCTTATGTAGCTTTCCTAGTTGACCTGCGATGCAACAAATTTTTTATTAAAGATTTGGAGAATGTCCTTTGGCTGTTCGAGAAATTTTCCATCCAACACCACTCCTTTCGAAACCTTTACAATCCCTATGGATTCTTACGAGTCATTCCAAAGTATTTCTTCATCGCCTTTGTTAGAGAGTTGAGCTATTTGAATATGCTCTATGTCATCTCTGAATGTGTGGTCACGAATAATGAGGACGAGAAAATATTTCTCAACATAAATCACCCCTCTAGGCTGTCCGCATTTCATCATTTTGTCAAGTACCATTTTGTTCCCTTTTACGAGGAACTTAGTTTGGAACCCAATTTTCAGAATTTTAAACAAAATTTAATTGAGTATAATGAGGAAGAGGTCGACCCGGATAGCACCAGGGACACATGGTCCTCCGGGGGTGGAGTCATCACGACCACCACCCCACATATAAACCCCCTTGATTTGGAGACCTACTTCAACAACGAGCTGCCTCTCTTAGTTCGGCACAGGAACTTCGAGAAGACCTTTCCCCTTCTGTTTGATTACTACTCGGAGTTGTCTTCCCCGCGTGGCGCCCCGTTCCAGGAGCGCGCCGGGGCAACTACTCAAGGGGAAGTCGTCCAGGGCCAGACCATTTCTGACGCCGCTAACAAGGACAACTCCACTAATATCGCTAACCAAGTGGTAAAAGGCGAAACCGCGCCGTGTCCCGAGAAGCATGTCTCCGTTGCCATCTTCATTCGATTCCTGCGAGAGTTTGGCCTCATCCCACACTTCTTTAGCAACCAAATGGCGATACAGACACTTCAGGGCTTTATGCAAAAGAAGGGGAAGAAGAAATTAAACTACGAGGACTTCTCCCATGCCATCATTATTTCCATCTGTGAATGCGTGAAAAAAAACATCCTCACCCAGTACAACATGCTCAAGGTGAATAATCAGCTAAACTCAAAAATTCAGACGGAGAAAATTTTGAATCGAAGTTATATTCAATACGAGGCCAAGGAGTTAATCTACCTCTTCGGGTTCGCTGACATGGAGCTGGTGCGGTCGAAGCTGGCCGGGTAGTTGTGCCGGAACCCTCCTTCGGTTGTAATGGGCCGTCAGGGTGCACGCCATTGCACTGTCCCTTCCCTCAGCGTGCACGTCCACATGGAGACATCAGCATTTAGGGACAAGCAACCAACCGGAATTGGAGGGAGAAATTATTGGGATATTTTACCTTCATCTTTCGCCCAGCCCGTTTGCAATTTTTTCCCCTTTTGTATGCTTTCCCCCCACGGGAGGCTACTTTTTAGTGCACACCTCGATTGTTTTTTTTTTCTTCTTCTTTTTTTTTTTTGTGCGGTTTGTAAGCCCTCCGTTGGGAAGGTTACCTGACGAGTTATCTGACTAGTTATTTGTGACAAACATTATGACCCATCTTTGCGAGCCATTTTTTGCACCATCTCAGCCGCTTAACCAAACGCTGCTCTATCGGCTGTTCTCTTTTTCTCCCCTTCTCCATCACAGCGCCCCTTTAAAATGGCATCGCCACACGGGGAACAAACATGTGAAAGAAAAACAACTCCGTAAAAATATGCACTCATTGGCGTAATCCCGAATGTACGTGTAAACAGCCAATCTGCGGAGCGCAGGAATCGTCTCAAAAGAGCATTTATAATGGGCGTTGCGAAACATATATTTGAGGGTGACCAAGTGAGGCTTCTAAACAAGATCGGCAATTTTGATGAAGCGCTCTCATCCTTGGGCTCCGTCCCAAGCATTAAAAAGTTTATCTTCGCCAAGCATGGCACGAACTACAACAGGGTGAGGCAGAATTGCCGCAGCAGCACGGTTCTGATCTTTCGCGCCAATGAGTACTTAAGAAAGTTAATAGAGTCAATAGCCGTTGTGTTTTGGAAGGGCCGGAAATGGAAAGGTTACACCTCAGAGAGAGCGGTCGGTGAAGAGTTCCCCTCCCAAAAGAAAAAAAAGAAAGAGGGGAACTCCCTAAGACACATTACACTCAAAGGGGGGAAAAAAAAAAAAGGGCCATTCTACACACACTGTTTACACCCCTTTTAGGCACGTACTGGCCAAGCAAATGGAAGTGGTACCACCGACACGGCTACTGGGCCACTCGAAAGAAGCTCCTCAGCTTCGACAAGTACAGGCCCTACAGGTGAGGGTGCCGATCAGCAAAAAAAGGAGACACAACTGAGAGGAAAAAATAATGCATTGTCATAGGGGGGAAGCCCAACGTACACTTTTCTGTGCGTGAAGACACGTCTCGCAGACGACCCTCCCTCTTTCCATTTGATCTGATTTCATTTCACTGAACAGGTATCACGAAGTTAAGGGGCACGGAAAGCCAAAGCTTCAATTCTGGCAGGACCACTCCTATTACAGACCCCTCAAGCAGACAACGAAGTTTTGGTGACCCGGCTCGTGATTGAAGGAGCGGCATTAAAGCGACACTAAAGCGGAAACTCAATCGGCAATGTGAATTCCCTGGTTGAGGAAATAACGGAGCTTGACCTTCGTCATGTCCAAGTGCATCACTTTATGAACATGTGCGTGTCACATATGCCCAGTTTTGGAAGGGATCCCTCCAGTTTGTACCCTTCAAAAGCAAGAAAATCAAAGCGGCTTCTGTACCCACGAAGGGGAAACAAAATGGTGGCCGCCTTACCAAGGAAATAAGAAAAAAAAAACTTTTGTCATTTTTGCGCAAACGAAAAACAATTTGAAAAAAAAAAGAGGCGAAATGGTGAAATGAATTCAAATGGTGTATCCTCCTTGAACTGAACGGAAAAAAAAAAATAAAACAAACGGACAAATGATCGACATGGAAAGAAAAAGCTACAAACAATTCAGCAGGACAAATAAACTGCGTTAGAACTACAAAAAAGGGAATGTTAATGTTTTAGAGTGAACAGTGCCATTTTTGTGTTCCCATTTTATCCTTCCCCGCCGCGACGCTGCTCACCCGCTGTGTATCCGCCAACTAGACTCGATGGCGAGGCTCCTTCTCGCAGCTTCAGAATGTGCCTATCTGGGTTTCGAACCCTAGATTGCCTCGGCATGATGACTATCCAGTGGGGGGGAAGGGCACAAAAATAATTCTCATTTGGGAAGACTTAATGGGTAATATGTACATTCAATTATTTTAAACATGTGTATATATTTTTTCTGTTCTCTTAGGCTCACCATTTACGTGGCCGTAAGACCCCGTTTTAATGTCAGCCAGGTTTGACACCACAGGTAGGTCCGTCAGTAGGGTTAGTATGGACCCAAAGAGCCACCTGTCCCTGTGGTGAAGTGGTGTATCGGTGTAGCGCCTGAAGCGAACAAAGCAGGCTTAGCAGAAAGAGCGGTAAAGGGCGTCAATGTTAATCCGTCCCATGGGGCGCCCTCTCAACTACGCGCGCTGCCTGTGTTCACTTCTTTCCCTTAATGTGGTACCTGTCCGAAGTAGATTCCCTTTGAAGCATAATGAGTGTGGCCTGCGTCGAGAGCGGAACAGAAGGCGCAACTCATTAGAGACAGAAAACTTGTGAAAGTTGTGAGGAGAAAAAAAAGAAAAAAGAAAATTAACAAAATCGTCATTGGGCATATGCGCCACTTCTACCATTGGTGTCCCAAGCTTCTTCCTGCAAAGAAGTATGTGATACATTAGGTGTTTGGTTTTCTTTCTTGGAGGGGAGGCGCATAATTCTTGTAGTGCTTCTTGCACACTTGGATCTTACATGAGTTGCCTATTTTCAAAGGCGGATGCCAAGGTCTTCAGTCTAGACAGGGCCCGGACGGCCAGTCTGTGAGCATGGTGTAAAAAGGCGTGAAGGCACATGGAGTATTCCGCCCAGCAGGGTGCAGCATATGTCTAGGGAACACACTCGTTCTGAGTTACCTCCCCCCGGCTAAAACCCTCGCGGTTAAGCTGGTTATGTCCTTTGCTGATGAGGAGAGAGAGAGAAAAAAAAGGGCAGTTGTAAATCGTATCATGGTTTCTCTCTGCTTCTTCCCATTTAAAAAAAAAAAAAATCATATCGGTATCGCTCTCATTCTAACCATCCTGATAGACCCGCTTAATATCCTCTAGCGCTGAACATTTTTTTTTTTTTTTACAAAAATAGGAATCTATGTCATGTACACAAGGATGCACCTCTCTGTTGTTTTAACGACCATTTAGATAATTGCAAAGAAGGGAAATTTTCCCGGGAGAGGAACACTTATTTTCCTCATACCAGAAAGTATGCACAGCATTTGCTCTTTCAAATTTTGTACAGCTCTACATGAGTCGACATCGGGCAGATTTTCAACACCTGTGGGGATGTTGAGCGGGGGTAGCGTTGATGTGCAGTTAGGGGAGGTTTTTTTTTTTTTTTTTTTATTTCTGCCTATGTGTATGCCGGCGTGAAGCCATCTGTCTAGTCCTGTTAAGCCTTTTTTTAACCTAGCGATTCTAACGTATGTTTGCTTGTGTTGGACAAATTAATCATTTCAGCTAGCCATGGCGGGATGTCCTAAAAAGAAGAGAGTGAACAGATGTATTTGGAGACAGGAATGGAAAGTATTGTTCATTAAATTACGCATTCTCAAGGGGGGAAAGACATGACACCCTCATGAGAATGCGCAGATATACACAACGCGGGATGCAGAGATGGCTGAGCCATATTCCACTCGGTACTTGTAGGTACACAAAAATGGCAGTTACATAATTCTCCTGGTGTTTTATATAGATGTTCTCGGATTGTGGGTAGGGGAAATTTGCTTTGTTCTAAGAACAGAGGGAGAGAAAAGGAGTTACTCACATTGGTCCCTATTTTGCACTATGCTAAGAGGTTATGTGCTATAGCTAAAGTGTGTGGCTGTACTGTAATATCCTCCAACTCGTCGGTGTCTTCGTTCATTTCTGTATGTATTTCATTGTCGGCATCTTCCTCGGGGGGACTAGTGCGATGGTACTTGCGCAGCCCTAAGTTGAGCTTCCTCTCGCGGGGCAAGTCGACCGGGCCTCAAAAGGGAGGAAAAGAAAAAAAAGGAGTAACCCAACCAGTGGAAAAGCTATTTAAAATGAAGTACTCCTCAACGCGGAGTATCCACTTTTTTTTTTTTTTTTTCTTTCTTCTTTTTTTTGCAGTTCATACCGTTAGGCACATCGGCGACCCCACTTACCTGAGGCGCACCTCTGCTTATTGTTAAGCTCAAACTGTTTCGAATGAGACACAATTCTCCAAACATAAAACAAGAAAGAAAACTCAAAATTTTAAGAGGAAGATTCATTTTTTTTTTTTTGAATGAGAAAACAAAAGACGTGAAGCGTTTTCCTTGTGTCTGCTCTGTATGCGGAGGGAACGATATAGACGATTTACGCAGTTGGAATTCAAATGAAGACGTCTCTTTAAGTGATGAGCAGCTTCCATATGTCGGACAGACATGAAATGCGTTGCTGTGCCTTTCGCTGCTTCCCCCCAACACACATGGGCGCATGTTAATTTGCTCCTCTTAACTTTTTTTTTTTTTTGGACAAATAAATAGTGTGTATGTACCATGCCGGGGCGACAACAGATTGCAACTCTGCTCATTATGCGGATAGCCAGGCCTTTTAAAAGTGTAGCGATTTTGCCTTTCCTCTCTGGTGTGTATGTTTTACACAGAGGAGAAGATTGAGGCAAGAATGGAAAAATAAAAAAAAAATAAGAAAACACTCTTATGAACGTTCAATGAGAGAGACATTACCCCTTTGCGACACTGACAAGGGGTGATCTACCTTTCTGCAGTTCACTTTGATGAATAGGAAGAGACCATTTTCAATCACTTTGGTGTCTCTTCTGATGAGTAACATTTTTTAAAAACGGAGGGTAAAACAAAATGGTGTTCCTTTCTCTGTTCTCTTTTTCCACCACACTGTGTACCTTTGTGCCCCCGATTTCTCTCCTTCGAAAAGAAATCATTGTTTTCCCCCTTTTTGATGAAGAGACCATTTTGACAACGACGTGATATGGGGGGAGAGGAAAAACACAGCAGATGCGAACATTCCATGCGCACGTAGAAGGCTGCACCGCCACGCTAGGTATGTAAGGTATACATTGGTGGGGGGCGAAGTAAATTTCCCTGGAAATGGTTAACAAGTGGGAAAATATCCACTAAGGTATGCCATCAATTGGACCTTTTATCCGGGCAGCCTTCTTTCTCTTTTGCATGTTCCTTTTTTAATTCACTGATGTGGTTTTAAGAGTAATCTCCCTTTTCGCGGAAGAGACCGAGTGGCACAAATGGACTGAGTGGGAAGGCAGGGGCACCAGACGAAAGGTGTCTGGATTTGTGAGGCCTCTTCTACGTGGTCATCTTTCCCTTCCACCACGTTTCCACGCAAATCAGACGTGAAACCACGCACGTTTTATATTTTCTGCGCCAGGAGTTACCTCCGCCGCCTAGCCATTAGCCAACTCACATGCAGCACTTCCCCACAGAGATTTTACCTACATATGTTAATTTTTGCATGCGACCTTTTTTTGCGTTCACCGAATGGGAAAGAAAAAAAAAAACTTTTTGGGAAATTATTTCCTCCCCTCCCGAGTTCACATTAACAAAAGTTACACAAAAAGAAAAAAAAAAAAAAAAAAAAGAAAAGAATTGCAACCTTCACAAGTGCGAAAATGATTGGTACACCTCTGTGTCAACCTCAAATGCGCACACGTACACACATACACACGCGTGCGTTGGTGACACAAGTTGTTTATATTTATATGGCCCATTTGTTCCTCTCACTAACCACCGCAATTTTCCATTAATTTCCGTTTGCCCGTTAAAAAAAGGGGCGGACATAACACGTTTTTTTTTTTTTTTCTTGTTTTGCTTCGCTCCTAACATATAGCAAATGTCCAGAGGTCAAAGTGCTAAAAGCAGAAGAATACGAGTCAACTGTAGAAAGGCGAAGTTGCATCCGTATTTTAACGTCCACTTGGCTGTGTAAATATGTATATATATTTTTTTTTCCGATTTGTGTGGACATTTGCGTGTTTGTATTTCCTCCTATCCCCATGTTCGTCTTTCTTCGCCCGTTGGGATTTATGCGAAAGAATTGCTTCCCCCTGATGAGACGGCTGTGAACAGCTAAGCGGGTGGAAGGCGTTCACAACACATGTGTACTCATGTGTACATGTATGAATTAAAAAGCTGTGTGTGGATATGCGTTCTGTTCTTCGTACATTCACACATCGTAATTCTCCTGTGACACTGAATGATATAGACAAGTCGCAGCTGTGACAAGATTGGCGCCGACTCATTTTGGTGAACGCCATTCGGCACGAATTAGCGGAGGGCACCTACGCGCGTCGACTAAGTCCGCGTGTTTATGGGCCTAGCTGTACTCTCCAGTTTGTGCAGTTGCTTTTGTTTTTTTTTTTTTTTTTTTTTTTTTTTGCGCCTTTTTTCGTTACCTTTTGCTTTTTTTTCGTTTTTTTTTGTTTTTTTTTCTTTGTTTTTGTGCTGTTTCTTATGTTGTTTTTTGTTCTTCTCTCTGTGTTTTTTTTTGTGTTTTTTTTCTGCTCTACATGCCTAGGCGTAAACGTGCCTGCATGCCACTCGCACCGTTGATGCAAACTGTTTTTAAAGGGGCTGACTCTGCTTGTTTGTTTCTTTCTTTGTCTGCTCGTTTGTTTGTCCTTTTGTCTGCTTGGTTGTTTACCTGTTTGACTGCTTGTTGCTTCGCCTTTGTTTGATGCCATCCATTTTGTGTGTCTTCCCTACAACTGCCGCTCCACCCTTCGCAGCTTTTCCCGCGCACGTATTTCGCCTGTCTGTCGCTTCCCCTCGGTGAAAACTGGCGGGTTGTGCCTTCCCCCAATGCGAAGACGACAATGCCATACATCTACATCCCTCCCGACCCGTGTTGTCACTTACTCACCTACCGGAGGAGCACCACCCAGGCAACTTTGCCCACCTCATCTGTGTAGTTACAAAATAAAAAAACGGTTCATACCTTGCGGATACATATGTACCCATACGAATGTGTGCAAACAGAAGTTTTTAAGTGTGATTTACACTTTTCCACCTTGTCGAACTGCCAACCGAGTTGTTAACTCATAAATGAAAAAGAAAAATAAAATAAAAAATAAAATAATTGTTCTCTACTCATCTGATCATTTTACATTCTGAAAAATTGGGGGAACATTTCACTTCATTCTATTTTATTTATTTATCTATTTATTTATTTTATTTTTATTTTATTTTTATTTTTTTTGACTTGTTTGGCAAACCCGTGCATACAATTCATGTGACAGCGTTATGCTGACCTAATCACTTTTTGCAGAGACCACTTCATTTCTCCTTCTACACATTTGAATCCGCCCAGAAGAAGTGATGGTCCTTTAAATTCCCCTTCTTCCACGTCCTAATAAAGTGTGTTGTGTTCCGAAAAGGGAAAAGAAAAAATCGCAAAGTTGGAGAGGAGGACGCAGACAACACAAGAAAAAAAGAAGAGAAAAAAGAATAAAAAAAAAACAGGAAAACGAAGAGGAAGATACAATATGGAGACAATTCTTAGAAAACTCAGAAGATCCAGTCGAAAAAAAAAAAAAATGGTAGAAGTTGACATCATTGACGAGGGGGATTGGGCCCATGCGAAGACGCTCGACTTGGAAGGTACTCTCCCGTTGCACTTCTCTGTTACTGCATGTGTATTTCTCTGAATTTCGGGACAATATACACCCCCACACATTTCTCCTTCTCCTCGTGCGCTATAGCATGGGTGTGTGCTCTTGTGTCGCTTCCTTTTGCCGCACCCAGAGGAGAGAGTTTTACCTCAAGTGAAGGCACCGCAGTGCCACCAGCGAGGCGAAAAAAATGAACTTCCCTGTTAGCAGGAATACATAGACTCTGAATCTCCGTTTTTTTTTCGCCCCCTCCCTTTACAGGAGACCCGTTTGGCTACTCTGATAAGACCAAAAAAAAAAGTGTTAGGAAAAACGAACGCGAAAATGAAAAGCGAGAAGCGAGCTCAGACGACGTTTACACATTCAATGATGACTTGGGGGATAACAGCACTCATACCGTGGGAAAATATCTGGCGAGGTCCCTCTCACGAGGAAATGAAGACGTAACGAATGGAAGCACCGATTTTGCAAATGAGTACTACGTAAAGAAGAAGAGAAGCGAGAGACATGGACACGTCAACGGGGACAAGTACGAACGTGACGACACGCACGAATATAGAATCGGCCGCAAAAAGGGCGCCACTAGGCACGCGGACCTCCAGTTTGAAAAATACGCCGGCGAAACGAAGGAGTTCTCGGAAGTCGAGGAGGAAGTGGACTCCTATCCCGAGGTCGACATGGACGCCATGCATGAAGAGCTGTCCAAGGGGGGTGCTCACGAGGAGCATGAGTATCTAGGGGATGAGGAGGAAGAGTACGCTTATGTTGAGGCGGACGTGAAACAGGAATATGATGAACAGGGGGTAGACGAATATGCAGATGAAGCGGTCGAAGAATATGCAGATGAGGAAGTCGAAGAATATGCAGACGAAGAGCCTGACGAAGAGGCTAACGAGGAACTCCCTGAAGTGGACGGGGGGGTGAACTCTATGCACCATCGAGAGAGGCGCAAGGGCTGCCTCAGGCAAGGACAAGTCGAAAAGCACAAGAAAACGATGTCGGACGAACAACAAGGAACAAGCATCACAGACAGAAAAACGACAGATACACTGGAAGAGTCAGAAGGAAAAGAAGAATACGTAGAGGAAAAACTAGAAGTATATAACAATGAGGAGATAGACGAACAAGTCGAAATTGCACACGTCAAAGGAAAAGGGAGGTGTATGTTTACAAAAAAAAACATAGATGCAGGGAGCATTATATTTGTGGAGAAACCGTTGATAATTATTACCCCCGATTTGAATGAAGAGTTATGGGTATATTTAAATAAATTGAACAATGAAGAAAGTTTCGAGTTACCTCTCAAGTGGCACTACGCTGCATTATGCACCATTACGACACTTAACGATAGTGATTTCAGGGCTTGTATCGACAAATGGATTCCTGAACCCGATAGAGACGCAGATGCAGATGTATTCAACGTGCTGAATAAGGTGTGCGATAAAAAGTTCGCAAAAAATGGGAAGCTGCAATATTTTTTTATGAAGAAAATGATAGACCCAAAAATATACGACAGGATCATACAGGTGTGGCACTACAATGCCTTTGGCCATCACACGGACAATGAAGGACTGGTCCTGTACAACCGTAAGAGGATGCTCTGTCATAGATGCGATCATCGCGACGGTCACCGCTACTCCACCGCTACTCCATCTCTGCACATCAGAGGGGACCCCATTTTGGCTTCTCTTTGTCGAACCTGCCCCCCGTTTCACTTCCCCCCCTTTTGCTGCCCCACTTCCCTGATAGGAATTTCCATGCTCGCCCACAGCTGCAACTCGACTGCCTGCTGGCATTACGGAAGCGACGACAGCTTTGTCTTGCGCGCCAGAGTGAAGCTGTCGGTGGGGGATGAGCTCACCATATCCTACCTCGGAGACGACGACTTGTACAAGTCCTCCAACAGTAAGGGGACCATCGAGCGAACAGCCTTCGCACGTGAGAAAAGTGTATGTGACAAAAGTGCACGTTTGATCCTTTATGCTTTCACCGCGCAAAGAGGATACTCCAACTGATGTGTCTTCCTTATCGGCTGATCCGCGGATTGACATTCCCTTCCCTTTACTTCTCTCCCCCCATAGTAAGAAGAGAAAAGCTTATCAACTGGTTATTCGTTTGCATGTGCAGCAGATGTACAAACCCGATTGACAAGTCAAGGGGGTTCAAATGTTCCACGTGCGGCATAGGTAAGGGCAGGAACACTGCTTTGTGTGGACGTACAACGTCAAAGCTTCTATTGCGAGTGAGAGCAGGTCTAACGCCTCCACCACTTCAACAGTCTCTTTATGTGAACCGCCACCCACTAATGATAGAATCGCCGATCCCCCCTCTACCTAGGCACCTTCTTCATCAAGAGCGAGTACCATGATGAAATTCCCATAGTGACCAAGTGCAACATCTGCGAATCGGAAGTATCGGAGTCCATGGCATATGAATACATCGAGTACGAGAAAAGTTACATAGAGAGATTGCAAGACACAGACAAAACAGACCTGGCAGATGCATTGGCAGTGTATGTCCAGGCAGAAAAAATATTTACACAGCACTGGATTATGTACCAGTTATACACAATATTATTTGAGGGGTACAGAGACACATGCAATTGGGAGAAGGCTATATATTATCAGACGCAGCGAATCAAATATGCCGTGGAAGTCATTCCAAGGGCAAATTATGTGCTGGCTTGGTTATACGAGGAATTGGGGGAGGTTCACGCGAATTCCATAAGCACTGAGATTTTGCAGTCGGAAAGGGACTTCACCATCTCGTATGAGGAGAAGTAAGCGATGAGGGAATGGGAAAGCAACAAATGTTTTGTGCATATGAGTTGCTCCACCTGTTAATGTAATATAACAGAGGAGACAGCTGGAGGGACCTCCGCACAAGTGCTAATCTTTCCTTCGCTGCTGGGCTTCGCTGCTGGGCTTCGCTGCTTGGCTTCCCCATTTTGCCCCCACCTCCCATCTTGCAGGAAGAGAATCTGCTCGCACTTCCTGAAGTCTATTCACCTGCTGGAAATCCTCTGCGGGTATTCCCACGACTACCTGAAGGATTCATTAGTAAGGACGCAGTGGGAAGGGAGCGGGCACTGTGCAGTCACTGTCCTGTTACAAAGCGGGCTGCGGACTATATAGCTCACGTCCCACGTAGAAGTGGCTGGCTGTGTCTGTCCATCCGTAGAACCTACTTTTATGTGCACATCCTTTTTTTTTTCTCCCTTTCACCACAGAATAAATACTACCGCATCGACAGTTTAACGAGCAAGGATGCTCCGCAAATCGAGGAGTAACCAGATGGGGGAGCGGCGAGGAACCCTAACCATCTCCAACAGTTTCGCCCCACATGTAGGAATAATACACGTACGTGTCTGTGTGGAGTATCCCCCGAGAGAATAGGCTTAACCCGAGTCATCCACCTGTTCGGAGTGACACAACAGCATAATAACCCGTGCGCATGAGCATGTTTGACACATTTGGGGGGACAACAGAAAGACCCCGCCGCTCCCATCAACGTGACGGTCAAACGGGCAGAAGTAAGCGGACAGAAGCGAACAGGCTGCAACACGCAAATTCCCCACTTCTCAATTTAACACCGGGTGGTCTTTCTTTTGTTCAGTTTTTAAAATTTTTTTAATTGTTTCTCGGAGTTTGGCGCGAGCACCGCACAGCGGACAACGCGTCTTTTTGCCGTTTCTCATTGGCGGCTTCGTCACCTCGACTTTGCCTCTTCCCCTTTCTGCTATTGTCAGTTTAATTTTTGTTTGATTTTTTTTTTTTTTCTCACTATGTGTCTATTCCTTTACAACCTTAGAAGAAAAAAGCAAAAACAAAAAAAAAACTTGAAAAAAATTATCAATTGCGGAACACTACTAAACAGTAACAGAAAGAAAAAAAAAAAAGCGCCAAAAAGTTACATGAAAAAAGGAGGATCTGCGCATAGCGATGCTGTGTAGCGGAGAATGCCGGTACTCTTTTTTTTTTTTCACAATGCACCATTTGCCGGTGGGAAGCACAAAATGCTCGGGGTTAACCTCCCGGACCACCACATGGGGAGGGGAAGTCTTCCATCGATCGGGTTCTTAAGCGAATGTATCCCGACGCGCTTCTGACAGAATGGCTACTACATTATGCCTTCTTCAGTTACACATGTTGGGGAACCATACTGGTAGCGTAGTAAAGACAACGCTGTGCATTTAGGGTTGGCTGGACGAACGTTTTCCTACCTAATCAAGCACGGGGATATATGCCGCGCTCAAGTTGTTGGTCTTCTTCACACCCAACTCGTCCGTCTCAATTCTCATGAATCCCTTTTCACCCCAGGTCTCCCCCCATGAGTTCTTAATAATATAGTAGTAGTGTTTCTCACTAGCATTTAATTCGCTGTTGAAAATTTCCTGCACACCATAGCCAACAATCATAACTTCGTGGTCGGTTTCTTCTGTGCACTCCGAAGTGAAGATTCCCTCCTTGTAATCTAAAAAGTCCTCATTGACAGTCACTTCCAAGGTTAGAGGTCCAAGGAATTGGAGAGCCTCTTTATATTTCTCCTCCGGAATTTGAACGTAACTTTTGATGGTATACTTTTCTGTGCATTTCTTGATTTCACATTTGCGTGGTTTTAATCCAACGTAGGGATATTCACTTTCTGAGCACAGGTGTCCTAAATCGATCATGTCGTCAAAAGCGAAGGTGGCTACACCACCAAAGCAGCCAAAGTTTTTACCAGAGCAGTCGACCAATTCTTGTTCACTTATCAATATGTGTTGATTTTTTCGGATGGCGTACTGGGACTCTACAGCCCCTACAGTTGCGAAAGCCCAGCAGGAGCCACATGAGCCTTGATCTTTTATTTCGCTCACTGCGTTGTGTTCTCTCCAGTCATGCTTCTCATTGTCCAATACGGCATCTGCGGGTTTGTATTTCTTTAACACGTCGTTGTAGTCACTCATGTGGGGTGAATTCGCCACTTTCTTAGTCAAGTCAAATCGCAAAGTTAGTATGGTCTTTCGGAACTCCTCAAAGCTCATGTCACTGTACTGATTCATGCCCTTTCTGTATAGAACTTTTGCCTTACTATTGTGCGAGTTTATCCTTGCCAAGTTTTCTACAAAAGTGACGTATCTCTCCTGCATCTCCTCTGCCGTCTTGTACTTCTTCCCGTGATCCTTCACAAAGAGGTAGAACGCATTGACGTTCTCCAAGTTCGCCATCAAAAATCTGGAGTCAGCAAAGTTGATGTCGCTCCTCTTGGCAACTTTCAAATTTCCAGAGCGTTTCCTGTAGTGCTCTTCACCC